GCGTGGTTTTTAAGGGAAAAGAACTCATTCAAATCACTGGATTAGTGCGCGGGAACGTCCAAGTGTTAATGAGCATCGCAGTCAGCGAAGCTTAAGCACACCTGGTACACGCGGGAGGCCCCGAGAAGCTTTTTCCTCTCTACCCAGTGATGAAAAGGGATGAACGGATGACACTTCACAAGGAAAGTAATCTTTAGGGAGGAAAGAGGGCAATAAAGAGAAGTTCTTCTGAAGTCCCTCATTGTCAATCCCTGGTAATTCCACTCACTCTTCCCAAGAAATAAATAACAAAAGGAATCGGGAGTCAGTCAGTCAACGGCAGAGGGGAATTACCGTGACAGTTAGAAGAGTAAATTCCCCGCAAATTACACCATTAAGTCCCCCCATCATTTAAAGAGATACCTCCTCCCCCCGCCTTCTCCACCTTCACTCTGGTGAGCAAATACGACACCACTCGAGAGCGCTGAAGCACTGGGCCGATTAGTGAAGCTAAACTCGGCGAGGAGGCGGCGGCGGCGGCGGAGAGGGAGCGAAGGGGAGGCTATTTCACACTTTGATCCTCAGAAGAATGTGCAATTACAAAGCTGCAGGAGCAAGGCGTGGATTTAGCCATGACCAAAAAAAAAATGTTTTAATGAACACGTCGATGAGGAGCGTCCGCCAAGGCACGAGGGTAGAGAGAAAAGCTGGAGGGAGTTATAGTCAGGGGGTTAGGGTTAGGTGTGATGCCTTTCCACCTTGCAAAACTATGACATCACAACAATGTGATTGCTCACTTGGGAAGGTGAACCTGGACCAGCATTAGTTTTGAAGATCCAGGAGCAAAACCGACAAAACACTGCGTCTGTGGCTTTTTAAGGATTATGCATTAAATTCAGTTATTATCGAAGAGCTGATGCTTTTTAAATGATTTCACATTTTATTTCGTTATTTTTAATACCTCTGAACAACGGTGAGATTAAACCTTGTTTGTTTTTGTCAAGCCATTTACCAAAAAATGGTTCTGCCATTTCAATCCTGCATGTTTTCTAAAAGTGAGGCACTTGCATTCAAATTTATCCAAATTGCCACCACTTTTAACGAATTTTGGGTTTGCTTGTTTAGATGTTGCTTATAAATGCTCGTTTTTTGGTGGCATTTTGATCCTTGTTTTGTTTTTTTAACACTTTCATCTTTCGGTAAGTGGCAAGTGTCATGGGATCACATCTGCTTTTTAATGCCTTTTTAATGGCTGGGCTATCAGAGTTTAAAGTCTCGTGCATCAGCCTGCACCTGTCCTGCTTCAGTGCCCTAAAGGCAGAAATACAGCGTCATCTCTAGGGCGGGATGGTTTTCCTTCAGGGATCAGCTGCGCCGAATGATTTCCCCTAAAACGCAATTGCAGCAGTCTGATGAATGCAGCTGGCAGTCTGCGTGTGCTTAAATCCAATGTCACAAATGACCTGAGCTGCTCGCAACTTTTTAAAACACGCACACACCAACCCACACCGGACAAGTCCTCTCCCACCTGCTTACTTACACAAGGAGGACAGAGCGCTTTCAGCTTGCTTAGAGAGCTGTCAGCACATACGAGGTATACGGGCTGTAATCAGAACTGAAGCTGCACAGACAGGGCTTGAGACAGAGCGAGACAGCTACAGTACCTGGCTCTTTCCCCTGAGAATTTGCAAGACGTGGAGTCTTCACACAGGTCCCCCAGGCTAAAGCACATACACTACTCAGCCCTGCAACTATGGGGATTTTACATCATCACAGTTTACAGAAATTGACTTTAATAACTGATCGCAGGATTTCCCACAGATTCAGGTTCTATTAGAGGATGTCAGGCCTGTGAATTGGGTATGTGGACACATAGGTGTGGCACATGCTGCGATAGGAGACACACATACAATCTGAACTACTAAATCACGCCATTTATACGTTTCCTTTCTGCAAATTATTTTATCTGCCAAATACTTTGTGACAAATAACTCGTGATTACAACCAGTTGCTTCTCACGTGAGTCTCCAACTTCACCATCTTGACCGTAGCCCTTAGTCTGCACTGAATCAACTTCTCCAGCTCGCAATGGATCAAGGCGGAAGATATAAAAAGGGAAAGTTGGAGGAAAATCCCACAGTGGAATAAGATCTTATCTGGGGAAGGAGCTGTATGATAATGAGGACTGCCCAGACAGTGACCGGCCCAGCGAGCCACTTTTTGAATTTGTACTGCCAATCATGCAAAAATATGTTACTTGAGATGTCCTAATGGAAAAATTGTTGTGTGCAGATGCACGCCATCTAACCATCTAATCAAATTTTTGCAATCTTTACATAACACCCCCCCAGAAATCATGCGTTTTAGTCACACCATAGCTGAGATTAAAGTCAGAAAACTACTGTGTGCTTTACTTTTCATGTTTCATCAGTATACTGGTGCTTTGCACGCTCCAATTTTAGAGATCACACTGCATAATGAGCAGAAATCTTCTCTATACAGACACATTTTGTCAGGAGACATAGCCGTTTTCGCCACGATAACAGATAAAAGCAGCTGGAAACTGCTAATTGGTGAGGTCTACATGCCATTATGGCAATGCACAGAGGGCCTGTGCAGACTCCACAGTTTACCCTGCACATGGTCATAAACAAACACACACGCACACACAAACAGTGATTAAACTCAGGTTTTTGACACTGTCCCTGCTGTCAGCGGCCACGGACAAGTGGAGAAATGTGCGGTTAAGTGGAGAAATGTGCGGATAATGTGGGTGCTAAGTGGATTCTCCTGGCAGGAGCAACCGCCTCATCTGGTCAGATCTGCTCGGCCCTCTCTGGCAGCTCCAGAGCTGGACTGTCCTCGCAATGAGCTGCCTCTATTAAGAGGAAGGCCACAGACCGCTAAGTCAGCGTCTCGTAGCGGCTCCTAATTAACATGCTTTGTGAAAAGCAATCAAGGCCCAGGCGTGTTTTTAATAGCAGGCTCACATTTTAACCCGGTGCAGCTTGTGCACCCGCGGCGCGCCGCTGGGAGAATCGGCCATGACTGCTGGGCAGAGCGGGCACGGCTGTGGCTGTCAGTGAAGCAGACAGCTCAGGGGACACTGAGTGAGATGAGCTCCCCCGCCTGTTCGTGTGGCTGTGGAGATGTTTGTGTGCGCCTCTTCACTAAGAGGAAGCAATTCATCGAGCCATCCAAGACACCTAATCTGTCCTTCCATCCCTGCCACCACGGCTCCTCGAATCCCCACATGGCAGCCTCTTGCCTCGCCTTGAGGAGGGGAGAGGGAGGGAGGGTGCCTGGGCAGAAGGCTGAAGGAGGGGGAACCGATAAGAACAGGGCCCGTCACCAATCCTAATCCCCAATCACTCACAGGACAAAGCCTCCTGTCCACCACGCACCTCCCCAACTGCAGCCACATTGAGGACATAAAGCAGTAAACTTCCACCTGCCCACTGAGATACCAGAGCTTAAACAGGGCGCTATTGTACAGGTAGACAGCCACGGATGCAGCCGGCACCACTCACACCCATCCTTGCTGAGATGAAACACACATAAGGTGCACTATCACACAAGGACAGCACACTCGCACGCTGCTGATTAATAAAAAGGTCAGTTCGGCAGAATGATTAATGCTCAAGTGATTGCAGCAGGGAGCAGAACGCTGCTGTGTGTACGTGAACACTGGAAAGAAAAACTCCAGTCACAAGAAAACAATACTCCTCGCATTCTTACCCATCAGCTACCTAGTGATGGGGCCAGTAGAGCATTATATGTATTATATAAAAATGCATAAACTTTAACAGAGCAGCATTAAATTGGTTGGACTATTTTTGACCCACCTGAGCTGGCAGATCGCTGGATAGAGTTTCAGAAGATGCCTAGAACAATGGACTCCCTGAACCCTATGACAGCAATAATCTGAGTGGCCCTGCAGGACGCTTAACTAGGCCAGGACTTTTTACTACAGTTGATCGTGCTGAAATGGAAGAAGACAACCCCACCTTTCCACAAACTCCTGGGTGGAGGACATACTTTAAATTGAAACAACTGAGACAGAGAACTGAGGGCTGGCAGCAGCTTGAGAACCCCTGTTGGATAGTGAGGAGGGAAATTTTATTTTTATATATTCCTCCGCTAAGGAGGCACGTAATCAGTGTTGTTAGCCAATGAGAACACAAAACACAAACCTCATGAAACTGAAGACCTGAGTGGTGAAGACTGGAAAAAAATGGGACAAAAGCCATTATATTATACTTTCCCTGAAACTGCTTTAATGGAGGATGCACTCTTGTGATTATATTTATTTATTGATTATAGGGGAGCAGGTTGTTCTTTTCTCTCTGATGGTGTGCAGCAATGTTTATCTGGGTGCTATGTGTCAAAGTAACATCCACAAGAATGCCAGCATCCACAGTGTCTCAGCAAAACACTGCATTGTTGTTACTCTCTTCACCTGATATCCAGATATAATGTGGTGGCTGGGAGGTGCACTTAAAAACTTTTTTTTTAAATAAATAAATTATGTACTAATCACACAGTGCGTGATTCTTTCAGTAAAACTCATTAATAGGACAGAAACTCTCTCAATTTAAAAAAAAAACTAGAATAGATTTAAAAGTTTTTAGCTTTCAACAACACTTTGACTTGCTTGGCATAAATAAGTGCCATAAAGTGAATTCGGCTCAATTTTAACTGCAAAATTAATTGTCTGTAAGCAATAAATAGCTTTTTTCTCCGTCTTATTTAAGCTAGCTGCTAACGTTAGCTCCGATAGTGAAGACGTCATAACCTGTAAATTAGCCGTGTCACGTGATCCACACCCCAGCCCATGTTATGAGCGCTACCCCTCACAAAATGCGAAGAATGACTGGAATGAAACGTTGTGTCATGTTGGTTCTGTATTCATGGAGAATAGCGTGAAGTAGCGCAAAGACGGCGCTTACCTGCTCCAAAATCCTGCGGTACCTCCGCGTAGCTTGTTCGATTAAATCCCGGACTGTCCACCCAGCTTTGCAGGGAACCACCACAGAGGTGTCCCCGAAAGTTACCGTAACTTTCATTATAGCAACAAGTTCAGAAAAAAAAAAAACTTAGTTTAAAATAGTTAAGGAAGTAATCCAAGTTTCGGTGATCTCTCGACCCGGAGCTTCGCCCGGTGTTGGTGACGGACAAAGTGGCACCTGTCTGTCGAAACTGCCGCAACAGGTGTCTCAGGTCTGGATGAAATCACCTTAAAGTCACTAATCAGAGGTTACCGAAATACAGCGACGTGTAAAACTCCAGAAGACATCTTATTTTGTGGGAAAAGTGGAAGAAAAAGCGGTTATCACAGTCGCCGAGAGTGACTTTCTGTCATGTTGCGCTGTCCGCCGATACACCCAAACAAAACAAACCGAGACAGGAACCCGGAAGAAATCACGGTGACTCTGGCACTCCAGGGAATTACATTCCCACTGACATACACCACCCACACTTTATGGGTTATTTCTACAGGCTTCATTAATGCGCATGACAATAGTTAAACAGGTTATTATGTTTCATATAACGCTAATACAGGCACAAAAAGAAGTACCTGTATGTAAATGTGTATTATTCAAATTTCATGGGCTGTTGCATAAAGATTATGAATAGAGTCAAAAACAAAAGCATCAGGGTGGAGTCAACTGTAACATTGATGTAAATGTAAATTTACATCAATTTTTATATATTATTACCTGATTAAAACCTCAGCTGGGCTGTAAAAGGAAGCAGAAAAAGAAGCACAAAGAAAATGTGGCAGCACAGACTCTGTGAAGTAACAGAGAAATTTTTTTTACCCAGACATCTTAAAAGCAGCAACTAAACAACAAATATACCTCGAAGAAAGTAGAAACTCTGATAGAACTCGGGTGGAAAGATCCAGTCGTGAATGATCACAGCAGATTTGTACCTTTGTTTTTTTCAGTATTGTTTCACTGCACTTACTTTCATTTACAATTACATTTCCAAATGATCATTTTTCCTTATTATTAATATAATCATTATTAAGATTATTGTAAGCGGTGGTGTTGTACTGGCCTTCATTGTATTAGGAAGTGTTCCTAATATTATGCCCACCCCATTAACATTTATTTCCTACCTGTCAGATTTTCTGGCACGTAGAAACTATGACATAAACTCTCTACGTGTGTTTGCTGAGAACTATATTAGCTCCTTCCCTACTCTAGCCCCCATACACCACTTCACCTCCACTCACACACTTTTTCCTTAACCGTTATTGTCTGTCATTTTATGTCATTAGGTGTGCTGTGAAATTGCCTTTATGGATATTAATGGCCACTGACACACTCATGTGCCTTATTCCCCCCGCATTGTTTGGTTCTGCTCTGGGGAATTTTCTCCACATCAAGTCTGAAAGCCACGGCAGCAGATGAATTCATAATTGGGACAAGCAATTATTTCCACTGCCAGTGTAATTCATCCAAAATGTACGGAACGGAACAATGAAGGGGTGACAGCCTCTTTTTGCTTCTTGTTTCATCTCAGTCCATGGTAAACAAGGTGAATTTAGAGGGGGAGTCCAGAGAATGAGAGTCCAAAGGATAGAAGGCAGACTGAAAAAAACAGGAAGAAAGAGAGAATCTCCAATTAGCAAATCCCACAATAGCTGCACATGTCCGTAATCCCTGGGCTCTGATTTTCGAGGCTGAGCATAATTTCACGCCTGGTTTAACACTCTGTTTTCACAGGTACTGAGAGTATATGATGCTGGTTATGTTCCCCCAGCTGCTGACTCACCAGTCAGAGAAACTTGAAAACACATGTTCCACTGCTAACTGCAGTCAACCTCATCCAGGCCAGGGGTGTTTCCATACAGCAATGATAAAAACTGAGAGCGGAGAGAGATTAAACTGTATGGTGTAAGTGCTTTAGCTGTCTTTAAATCCTCATTTCAGTCTGGCCCACTATCATAAAAAGAGGGTTGTTAATTCTAAACATCCGATCTAATAAACAACACCAGACGGGATTCAGTAGCAGATTAAACCGTCTGACATTGGCAGGGAAGATTTTGAAGTCTTTAATAGGCGCAAACGACATACATAACTCTGCTGCTCAACCCACAAATGCATTTTCCTTAGAAATATGTCACCATTTAAGGCATTCCAACGGTATAAGGTTTATTGCCAAGAAGCATTGTCACATTGTTACAACAAAGAAATAATCAGCCAAACACTAATTTTTTCTACTTTTTTTGTTTTGTTCATATTCTCGATCTATTTTCTGAAAGCTGGACTTCTATTGGGACGACATCAGCAAGGTCGACAGATATGACAACACATATAACATTGACCAAATTAGAAACAGCATAAAAACAAGCACATGGAGCAATGTGAGTGGGTTGCAAAGTGGCTTGCAGGTGAACCGCAACTGTAGGTAGACTTAGAGTTGGATGTCTTGAGAACTTTTACGTGGTCTTGGTCTTGTCTTGGTCTCGACGGGCTTTTGACTTGGTCTCCCTGTCTCGGTCTTGCTGTCTCAGATCGACATAGTGGTCGGGAGACTTGGAGTCAACAGTATCCATGACACACAACGTAACATTCGATAATGTGTCATGCGCAAAAGCATCAGCTCTAAGAGCCGTGCTTAGAGAGTGCTTTGTGGTGAATCAGAAGAGTCGACTCCCATTGAGCAAGAGCCGGCTCCTCACTTAATTTCCTTTCGCTGCTCAGCTCTCACACAGTGGCTCAGCTATGCTCCAATCCCTCCATATCATGGCCAATCACATGCGAGGATATAGGATAATGTCATTATGTGAAAAACAGAGAGGGTGAGAGACGCGACAGTCAAGTGGAGCGTGAGTCTGTCCTCTCAGTAAGTGAGACAGTAGACAGCGGTGAGGAGGGCTGTGCGAGTGCATCGCAAAAACACATAAATATGCCTGACACCCGTAAACGAAGCAGCATCTGGCTGCAGTTTAAAGACTTTTTGTGTCGGTCTCGTCTCGACTTTGTCTTGGTCTTGTCTTGGTCTCGATACCCTCTGGTCTTGGTATTGTCTTGGTCTCGATACCCTCTGGTCTTGGTCTTGTCTTGGTCTCGATACCCTCTGGTCTTGGTATTGTCTTGGTCTCGATGCCCTCTGGTCTTGGTATTGTCTTGGTCTTGGTTTAGGCGGTCTTGACTTCAAGTCTAGGTAGACTTAAAGCAACCTAGATGATGTGTGATACATAATATGTGTGAGCTGGATGTTTAGCAGTGCATAACCTGATCCAAAGCTGATATGGGCTGGCATTTATTTGTTATCCCAGGATTGTGGCTAAGCTTGACTTTGTGGCCTGTTTCAACTCACACGGCTCTCAGTTTGTTCAAGGAAGACACATAACTTCACGGTGACACAATGACTTTCCTATAGTCAGACTCTCAGTTAATATCAGGCCACTGCTGCGTGCAACGGAGAATTTGTAGCTGGCAATGAGAGACTGTGCTATGAAATCTACTAAGAAGGCACAATCATATATTGTTTAATTAGTGCGCTTTATTGCGCTTCCCCTAATCGAAGACGACATAGACACTCTTGTAGCTCCATATGCCAGTCAACTGAACTTGAACTGAACTTGAACATGACCATAATATAGTTCTTCTTCCCTAAAATGTTCCAAAAACAGTGGATGACCACTGCAATGAAAATTAAAAAACCCCACCATAACCCACTTATTATAAACAGACGGCGCAGAAAAGCTTCCCTCTTTGTTCAACTTGTTCCTGTTTTCTGCACACTTCCTCTATATTTATAAAGAAGAAGAAGATGGTGTACACGCTACAGAGGCCTCAAATACCTTCTCACACTCTAACATGTGAAAAAACCGGATGACAAGATGCCATTGTCAGAAATGCAGTGTCGTAATAAAACAAGCCGACGGTGAGAACCTGCAAAAAAATTTGATCTATTCCCACGTGAGGACGATAGGAGCTGCAGCGTGACCTGAGACGAAGACGAGTTTGACAGCAATGTCACGCTGGAGTGTTTGCACAGCATCAGCGCTGTCACTTCTCTGCTCTGTGATGTCACTTCCTCTATAAATAGAGTAGTAGCTTCTGAGCACGCCCTCACCTGTAGCGTTTTTGAGCGAGATGCCAAAAGCAGGCAGTAATTTAAAAGAGCTGAAAGTCTGTTACAAGCTCATATCGAGCATCTCTGAATGTTCTATCAAACCTTTTTCTTTTTCTTTTTTTTAGTCTTTTCAATCTTTTCCTCATCTGGAAGTAAGGCTTGCTTAGCCAGAGTGCTGGTCATCAATAAAAGCCAAGTGATGGTTTTTGTTGTTTTGCTCGTTTCTCTGAGTGCAATTTACAGGGTTGGGTTGTTCGGGTCGATACACGTGTTGATTTGCTTTCAGTCTTCAAGCAGTGCCCCTTTTCTAAAGAGCAAAATTGACATGTTCTCAGCGGCGGTGCCACCACCCCTGTGTTTTAGCTCAGTGTGAGACTGGAGCCGGTCAATAGTTGAGACTTGCTTCACTTCCTGCTGCGCTGCTTACAATTACAGGCCCTGAATCATTGGCGAGGATTACTCATAAAAACCTGCTCTGGCTCTCTGATTGTGTGCGTATGTGTGCCGTAGCTGCACAAGTCGGGCATGAGAGATAGTGTTCGCAATCACAAAATATGACTTTCATTCAGCATGAGGATTTCATTTCAGACCGCAGGTATAATATTCATGATGCAAAATTGCATTTCTTTTGTGTGCCGCTGCTGAAAGGCTCCAGCCCAATAGCTAAAGGTGCACGCCTGTGAATTACAAGTGTTACAGGATTGTTGTCTAGAGTAATCACAGTTATTCAAAGCAAAAAAAAAAAAGCTATCACCATTCACCGTGATCTGTGGACACACAGAGATGTATATTGTACTTTGGCGCTTATATGCTTACAATTTGGGAGGATCTTTGTGGCGCACTGCTGGCGGCCGACTTCCCGCCCGGTACAGTGTGTAGTGTACGGTGTGTACTGAAGGTGATGAGACGTTTGCAGAATTTTAAATCCGAGAGGAAGTTGGAGGCTTTGATATTCTTCAGCCCTGAAGCGGCGTAGTTAATATATAACATACCATACTTCCAGCTCGGGTATTCACAGCATTGAAGTACATATGAGGGGAAATTGAAGAAAAAAATATTTGTTCTTTCTGTCATAGCCGCGCACGTCTCATCACCATCAGGGGAATTTTCCCAAAGCGAGCCGGATGTGATCTCTTTAACCTCTTTCATAAGTGACCCAGACAACATGATTTCAGGCGAATTATCATTTGAGCTGAGTGTCTGGGGCCATGTGTCACCCACCATGTTAAACACAGGGTATAAACATGAAGAAACGTCCAAGTCTTTATCTTTTGATTTATATTAATATTTCACAGCAAAAGAAAAGGATAGAAACACACATTAAAAAGAGACAGAA